TTCAGCAGATTTAATAAAAATGAAAGTTTATTTTCATCCCAATTCTATAAACTAATAATTCCCAAGATTATATATTCTTTTACATAGTTTTTTTTTTTTATATAACTTCAAATAACAAAAATATAATATTTTAGATATACTGTTCCTGTTCTTTGGGATAAAAAATTACAAACAATTGGTAAAATATCATTATTATAAACTTAGAACAAGATCATTCAAAAATAACTCAACCTTTGCTATTATAGTCAACAATGAATCCAGTGAAATAATCCGCATGTTTAACGATGCGTTCGATGAATTTGTCCCAGAAACAAAGGGCAAAACTTTTTACCCAAAACATCTTGAAAGCGAAATTAATAACATAAATAGTTGGGTTTATGACAAAATTAACAATGGTGTTTATAAATGTGGATTTGCTTCAACTCAAGATGCTTGTGCGTATAAATATTTATATATTTATATATTTATTAAATTCACAGAATTAATTATTTTCATTTTTTTCATCAACAGATAATAACCATATTGGAAATCTATTTGAAGCTTTGGATAACGTGGAAGCTATTCTTTCTAAAAATGAGTTTCTTGTTGGAAACACCTTTACTGAAGCAGATATCCGACTTTGGACCACTATTATTAGGTAATGTACATTTCAAGTTTTCATGATTTAAGAGAACTGCAATAGTTACATATTCAAAATTACATACATAGATTTGATCCAGTTTATCATACACATTTTAAAACAAACTTGAAATCCATTAAATGTGATTACCCAAACATTCTTCGCTGGGCTAAGCAAATTTATAAAATGCCTAAAAGTAAATCATTAAATTTTTATTTTATCAAATCAATTCATATTGATTAAATGTATACTAATAATCAATCTCAATCTTCTGTATACTAATAATCAATCTTAATCTTCTTTAAGTTGCTGATACTGTTAATATGACACACATCAAGAATCATTACTACCAAAGCCATAAGCAAATTAATCCACATGGAATTGTTCCCATTAACAATGGACCCGGTATGTAAATTTTTTTGAATCACAAGATACTAGTCTAATCAATAATAATATTTTTAATAATAGTTGTATAATTTATTTTGTTTCAATTATCAGCTCTTGACTTATAAGTATGATCATCGACTTTTATTTCTTTGATAAAACAAGTGATGTGAGAAGAACAAAGTTTTTTTTTTATAAAATACGATTTTCATTTTTAACTATTCGGTATTAATATTTAGCAAACTTTACTTGTATTTTATCATTTTATCATTTTTTATTGAGTTGTAATAAATCCTTTTGTTTCAATATTTGGATATAAATAAATAAAATAAATTGAATCTTACAATTACTTAACGAGTAGTAAATTAATTAAAAAAATTATTTGTTTAAACAACTACTCACGATTCAAAATTTTCAAAATTTTGTTTATAAGACTAATTTCTATGATTTAATAAAAAAAATTTTTTTGGTAAAATTTAGTATAAGCTACTTCTAATACTAATTAGTTTTTACGCTGATAATAAATTCCTTGTGTTTTTGTCTGTTTTAATTTATAATTTTAAATGACAAATTTTATATTTGATGACAAATTTTATATTTGTAGATGCATCGAGCAATCATGCCTTACTTATTTTCAATGTTGCCTTTTCTTATGAAATCTAGGCAAGAGTTGCAGAGGTATTTCGTAATATCAAAACTACAGTATTCGCGAGATAAGCACATTTCATCACGGCGAATTTATGAATTTGGTTCCCTAAATTTAAATTTAGTTGCGTACCAAATATTACATATTAATAAATCAATGTTAAAACCCTGAAAAAAGCTTTTTGGGCTACCGATCTAGATTGATGGCATGTCTAACCCATCTTCCTCACTTTGACGTATCTCATTAGACATAGACATTTATTATAATGACATTATCCTAACTTGGAGATATCAAGTATTAGCAAATTTTTCTGATTTTGAAGTATTTAATAAATTCGCAACAGTGTATTGTATGGATTAAATTCACGAACTGCGGATCTAAATTAAAACCTCTTCTAGAACATACGTAAAAACATTAAAATCTATTGTGTAGATTTTCTTTTGAAAGTATGAAATTAAATTTGAATTTTGCACACTGATTGAACTGATCAAATTAAACTTATATAAACGGCAGATAGTACTATAGGTATTTGATGAAATATATGAAATGAAGTTCCAACTTCGTTCGAATATATATATACGTCGCGAAAGTTGAGTCCCTTGATTAAATTTTCAAAATTTTGCAGATCGCAGTAAATTTCGTAAATCGTGTATAAATCGATAAAAAAAAAACAACACCCCGAGATGGGATATGTTAAGGGAATATATAATCTTGGGAATTATTAGTTTATAGAATTGGGATGAAAATAAACTTTCATTTTTATTAAATCTGCTGAA